TCCCCGGCGGCGGGGATGCGTGTCCTGGGTCCGCGCGGGTGACGTTTGTTGGCTGAGTTGTGCCTGATGGAACCCGATCGCCTCTGACGGTTACACCTACCGGCGTGTGATCGAGTTCAATCCCTGATGGAGGGAAATGATGATGCCGGTGTCCCCGGGATCTGGCCGGTTCTTGGGTGGAATTTCTTGTCCATCTGGCAGTTGTCGATTCTGAGCACACACCCCGTTGAAGGGGATGCTCCGTGTCATCGGGGGGCGGGGGGGACCTTCTGATTTTGTGATGGGGGCGGGTGGAGAGAGGTCTATGGAGCCGTGAGCGACTGTCCCGGCGCGGCAGTCAGGACCGATCGGAGTTTCCTAAACAACCAGGAGCCCCTGTTCGTTCAGAACACGGTGGAGGAGAGTTAGCGTCTGTGCCTGACGGAGGTCATGGAGCCTGTGGATCGCTAGCCAGCGGTTCTCAACCTTCCTAATGCCAAGACCCTTTAATACAGTTCCTCATGTTGTGGTGACCCCCAATTTCATTGTTACAAATTGAACATAATTAAAGCATAGTGATCAATCACAAAAATAATATGTAATTATATATGTGTTTTCCGATGGTCTTAGGCGACCCCTGTGAAAGGGTCGTTCGACCCCCAAAGGGGTCGCGACCCGCAGGTTGAGCACCGCTGCTCTAAGCCAAGGCATGGAGAGTTCTCACTGGGAAGCGTGGAGAGCAGGGTGTGATGTTTCTCCAAGTCCCACGGGCCATTTGGTGGGTTTATTTGAGCCTTTCTCGGTGTCCATTTTTTTAAGATTCCCCTGGGTTCATGTGTTTGTGGGCGGATGACACGCCTGTCTGTGTCCTGTTTCATAATGGTGGGGCACAGTCCTCTGCAGTTAGATTTACGGTCAGCTAAACCCGCAGGGGCTCTACGCAGCGCGGTTGGCCTTTCGCCCTCGGAGGATTTTACCCTCCCCAGTGTCACCCTGTCAGCTTGTCTGGCAAGGACTGTCTGAATTTTCGTCCTGCCACCTGCCTGATTCGCTATCCCATCGAATTGTCACCCGAAAAGTTGGCAAGCCTGCCCTCAGCTGTCGTGCCTGTCCAGGTCAATAGTGGAAATACAGAAAGGCTGAACGATCCACGGAGTAGCACTATATTTTGAGTACGTTTGTTCCAATCTAGTCTTAGTGGGGTGTTTTTTTTGTTATTATTATTATTGATATTTAGGGAGAAAAAGTGGGGAGGGAGCGAGAGAAAGAGAAACATCAATGTGAGACACATTGGTTGGCTGCCTCCCACTTGCGCCCCGGCTGGGGACGGACCTGAGACCTGGGCATCGAACCCGCCACCACCTTGTGGCGTACGGGGGGACGATGCTCCAACCCACAGAGCCGCACTGGCCAGGGTGCTGCTCAGTTATTCTTGACTCTAGTTTGAATTTCTGTGAAAGTAGCAAGAGAAATTGTGGGGCCTTGTAATCAAGTGACCCTCTCTGGGAAGGGCTGTTGACATAGACGTTGTTTTTCATGTGCTTGCTAGGTCTTAGGAACTACTTCTTACTCCCAAACACTTTAGCCCTAGCTGGTTTGGCTCAGTGGATAGAGCGTCGGCCTGTGGACTAAAGAGTCCCAGGTTCGATTCCAGCCAGGGGCACATGCGGGGGTTGCAGTCTCGATCCTCCACCCCCACCCCCCGTAAGGGACGTGCAGGAGGCAGCCGATTGATGATTCTCTCTCATCATTGATGTTTCTCTCTCTCTAGCTCTCTCCCTTCCTCTCTGAAATCAATAATAAAAAAACCCCACTTTCTTTAATAACCTGTTCTAAAATGTCCACGTAGATCAGATCCGCCCATCTTTAGTTTGTAGAATTCATGACTTGCGTGTTTTTTAAAACTAAAATATGTATCCAAGTGCAGTCTCTCCTTGCTTCTCAAGTGTTCACCAGTAATCATAACAGCAGCGAGTCTTCTCCTCTAAGCCACGCGGTCCTAAGACTTATTTCCAGGCAGGGATTACTCTTACTACCCTTTTTCCCATCTTGGGTAGGTCTTTGCCAACCTTTGTCTGTCCTTAAATGTTTTACTGTTCTTCTTACTGTCCTTCAGTGTTTTTACAAGTTGTGTATCATTCTGTGGGGAGGGTCACAAGTATAAGATGTGTAAATAATGCTTTTTCATGCTCTTTCTGTCCAAGCTGCTCTTCGGCAGAGTGATGAAGGCACGTGCTCTGGGGTTGCTTTAAACCTAATCTTATCCCCCACTCCCCCACCCCCCCCACCCCCGTTTGGGATTTTCTTCACAGGACTGATGTGAGAATTAAGTGAGGTAACACACTGTCAAATACTTCGCAGTGCCTGGCACATAGTTTTGAAGTATTAGTATCAGTATTATTGTGTTGTGTTGGTATGTCCATCTACACTAATAAAAGAGAACGATGCAAATTGACCGTCACTTTGCAATGCCCACCAGCCAGTCAGGAGTGAGTATGCAAATTAACCAACAGAGATGGTGGGTTAATTTGCATACGCAGGCACCAAGCGTAGGCACCAAGCGGCCAGGGGCAGGGCGGGAACGTCCCCCGCAGCGAGCGAGCAGACAGCAGGGCCCTGCTTGCCCCTGGCCATGGAAGCGAGGGTCAAGCAGTCCCCCGCAAGGCCCCCACAGAGAGCAGACACCAGGGCCTGCGGTGGCATCAAGCAGGCAGGTCCGCAGAGAGCAGAGAACCACGGGGAGCAGGCCTAAGCCGTCAGTAGGACAGCCCCTGAGGGCTCCCAGATTGGAGAAGAGGGTGCACAGGCTGAGGGACCCACCCCTCACCCCCCCACCCCCATGCACGAATTTTGTGCACCGGGCCCCTAGTGTGTATTATAAACATCTAAGGCCAAATACGTTAGTCAACTTTTACGTAGTGGAGTGGGCTTGAATCAGACCCTCTATTTCTAACCCATTTGTACCACTAAACAAAATGCACTTGATTCATTTCTTTCAGATGGAACTGGAAGCATTACGTTCTATATATGAAGGAGATGAAAGTTTCCGGGAATTAAGTCCAGTTTCATTTCAATATAGGGTAAGACATGACATGAGTAGGAGCATTTACTACTTTACTGAAGAAGACTAAAGGTTGCTATAAATGCTGATTTTGTTTTTAAATTTAGTGGTTTGGATTTACTATGTTTTTGGATTTTCTGAAGCATTTAAATGAAGACACATCACCATGACATCAATTAGTCAGTTAGTTAAAGCCTCGCCTGAGGATATTTTTTTCATTGATTTTTAGAGAAAGTGGAAGGGAGGGGGTTAGAGAGAGAGGCATCAATTGGTTGCCTCCCACATGCTCCCTAGTGAGGGAGGGGCACGTGAGGGAGGATGTCGAACCTGCAACCCAGGTACATGCCCTTGACCAGGAATCGAACCCATGACCTTTGGTGTACAGGCTGATGCTCTAACCACTGATCTGACCATGAGCATTGGAAGGGATTCATTCTAAAGATCATAATTAAATATTCTGTCTTTGCATCATTTTTTACAAGCCTGAGAGTTCCCTTTTCTTCAGATAGGTGAAAATGGTGATCCCAAAGCCTTCCTCATAGAGGTTTCCTGGACAGAAACATATCCCCAGACCCCTCCCATCATATCCATGAACGCTTTCTTCAACAACACCATGTGAGTAGTGATTTATTTTCATTGAGGTTTTTTTACACTCTTGCTTTTCTGCTAGCAATAGATTTCTTGTGCATTCCAGATCCTCAGCCGTGAAGGAGAGCATATTAGCCAAGTTACAGGAGGCGGTGGAAGCCAACCTCGGCACCGCCATGACCTACACGCTGTTCGAGTACGCCAAGGACAACAAAGAGCAGTTCATGGAGAATCACCATCCCGTGAACTCTGCGGTGAGTGTGCCGTTTGTTTTTCCAGATTTTCTTATTGTTTCAATTTCACTGTTAGTAGTTAATTTGAGCTAGTTTTTTAATTGGAAAGAGATTGTTGGTTTAAAGTGAATTACATCTGAGTCAAATAAGAACAATGAATTTCAGATTTCTTAGCTTCCATGTAACTTTAAAAATTTTACTCTCCAGATTTTACCCTTCCTATAAGACTAGAATACTTCACGTACCCACCAAAACTGATATTGTAGAATCCATATTTTCAAGTTTATTTCCTCATAAAACTCAGAAAGGGGATTTCTTATGTAGAGCTAAAATATGTATGACATGACATTTTTTATGAGGATTAGTTCATTGTAAGTGGTCTTGCCACAGTTCAGTTTGAAGGCATGGCAGTTTAAGGAGACTTTATTGTATGGGAAAAGTATACATTTTTTTCTAGAATTATTTTAGGGAAGAAGCCTCTTTGATGACCATGAGCATCTGTGTATTAGCCCCTTTGCACCATGTCCTGTGCTAAAAAATGTCCGTGGTCAGTGCTGAGTTTTGTCTGTGAACCAAGCTGTACACTGACAGCAAAGACCACGTCCTGTACTTGAGCGGTTCTGGGTTCCACGTGCCCAGCAGAGCACAGAACACTGAGAGGCAGCTGGAGAAGCAGTTTGCCCAGCTGTATTTTAAATATTTCCTTCATTTCAGGGAACTAGAGTATTCTTAAGTATTTTTCTAAAGACTTATTTAAATTTCCAAATAATAGCAAATTAACTAAATTGTAAAATTACCATGGAACTTCAGAGCTTCTGCATAATGCTGGTGTCAGATCTTCTTGCTGAACGTCCTGGTTGCAACAGTTGCACTAGTATTGTGCCCATCAGTGTGCATTCTAGTGAATCCAGTACACTAAGTTCACCTGTACTAATAAACGAATCTAACAGTGGAGGTTTCTTTTACTTCACAAGTCTAAAAATTATCAACCTGTTTCAGGATGTAGCCATATTTTGTGTAATTCAATAAGCTTAAGACATGGGTCTAAGAATTCTTTTTTTCCCCTAGACATCCATAAGCAATATCCTCTCAGTTGAAACTCCTAATGTAGCCCCATCCAGTAAGAAAAAAGACAAGAAGGAACAGCTTACAAAAGCCCAGAAACGCAAGCTGGCAGATAAAACAGGTTTGTGTTTGTTTTTTCTTTTTATGACATAAAGGAATGCGTTGCTTTTTATTGCGCTGTCAGTGCTTAATAACTATGTTTCCATTTGGATTAGTCTCCACTCTTTTATTCTGGGGACAGTTGGATCAGAGACTGTCAGGGCACAGACGTGTATTGAAAATACTTTCTCCTTCCCCACAAGAGAGAGCCATGTGAGAAGAAGGTAGATGAGCTGCAAAGTAACTACTATAAATCAGTCCTGACTTTCAGGAGCATTAGAACAGCATACGGGCCCTAGCTGGTTTGGCTCAGTGGATAGAGCATCAGCCTGCGGACTGAAAGGTCCCAGGTTCATTTCCGGTCAGGGGCACATGCCCGAGTTTCGGGCTCAATCCCCAATAGGGGGCATGCAGGAGGCAGCCGATCAATGATTCTCTGTCATCATTGATGTTTCTATCTCTCTCTCCTCCTCCCTTCCTCTCTGAAATCAATAAAAATATATGTTAAAAAAAAAAAGAATAGCATACAGGTGTGTGTCTTACTTGTACCCTCTCTGTCACATGTGGGATTTTCCTGTTTGTTTACCTCTATGTCAGATATGTGTATTATTGAAAACTTCTTGAAATATAGCTTTCATATGAAATGAAGTCTAGTACACCATTTGATCTTAGCACAATAAGTACTTTAATGTTTTTGTCTATAGTTGACTTACTTATACAACAGCAATGAAATTTAAGAATGGAATTCCTGTCCTGCCTGGTTTGGCTCAGTGGATAGAGCTTTGGCCCTCGAACCGAAGAGTCTTGGGTTCAAATCCAATCAAGGGCACATACCTCAGTTGCAGGCTCGATCCCCAGCCCTGGTTGGGGCGCGTGTAGGAGGCAGCCAACTGATGTGTCTCTCTCACATGGATGTTTCTCTCTCTCTGTCGCTCCCTCTCCCACTCTCTCTAAAAAATCAATGGAAAAATATCCTTGGGTAAGGATTAGCAACAGCAGCAAAAAGGTGGAATTCTGTGTGTCTTAAACCAGAGTCATTTCAGGTGGACCTTTAGAAGGGTATTGTAAACCCCAGCTTATATCAGCAATAATGTTTTACCCTTTTCTTTAACCTGAAAATTGGCAAATTATATCAACCTGTAAATCTTTTCCTAGTTAAATAAAGTGATATTACCATGTGTGCTTGTAGACATTTATATACATGTACACATGTGTGCATATATTTACGTCTGTATGTGTATGTTACTGGTGCGAGGTTACAGCTGCTCTTTATTGAGAAGAACTGACCCTTTTACTTTGGTGATAAAGTTTAAAATAGTGTCCTTTTTAAAATATAGTGCTGGTAGTTTTCTGGTTATCTATGTTTTGTTGAATAAAAAGATATTGACCCTCAAAATACATTTTTGAAATTGTAATGGTTTGTGAAATAAAGTCTGGGAATCCATTATGTATACCAAAGTCAAAGCAGCATAAATACAGCATCAACCACTAAAGCAGTAAGTTGTTAGCTGTTACAGCCTGGTTTCTAGAATTTGGGTTCATCGCTTTTTGGAATGTTTAGCATCTGTGTCAGTTAGTTCATTATCTGTTGCTTTCATACATGATGACCTCTGGTCATTCCCTTTTCTTACTGTACCCCTACCTCCAACTCCTTGATGATGCCCACCTAAAAGCCGTTATCTCCCTGTGATACAGCACAGGGGCTTGTGGCTTGGAGCTCGCATTCTAAATAGAGCTGTAATGGGACAGCCATGGCTGGCACTGTGAGTGAGTTTTGGTTCCCAAGGCTGGTGATCTGCCTCCATTCCCTCCTAACCAGGAATCGGGGGGATAAGACTCTTCTTGGCATGAAGGAGAAGAGAACCATTAGCATCTAAAATTGAGCCCCAGTAATATTGCTTCTCTCCTGTAATAATCAAAGGCTTGCTTTCTGTTTCCCTTGCTATAAAATTAATGTACTTGTTTCAAATACAGATTTTTGTACATTTTCTAAAATGAGACATACAGATATATCAAGCATAAAGTAAATCAAGCCATTAAACTACTAGAGGCCTGGTGCATGAAAATTCATGCACTGGAGGGGGGCTCCCTCAGCCCGGCCTGCCCCCTCTCACAGTCCGGGAGCCCTCAGGGGTGGGAAGCGACCAAGCGATCAGGGGAAGGCGACGCCCCATCACACCTCTGCTGCTGCCACTGCCGGCAGCGCAAGCCTCGCTGGCCCTGGTTACCTGAGCCTCAGGCGGCCCTGAGAGGCTGGGGGGTGAGGAGAATGGGGGACTCCGGAGGCAGGCGCGTGGCAAGGTCGGGCCTGCCTGGGGGCGCCTGCTGCCCTGGCGGGGCTGAGGGGACTGGGCACTGCCATCTTGTGGCTGTGGGTGCCGCCATCTTTGAGGGCGGGGCAGTAATTGGCATATTCCCTCCTTATTGGCTGTGGGTGCCGCCATCTTTGAGGGCGGGGCAGTAATTGGCATATTCCCTCCTTATTGGCTGTGGGTGGGTGCCGCCTTGCGACAGTGTGAGGGTCAATTAGCATATTCCCTCTTTATTAGATAGAATTCTTTAAATTTGAATATTTTATTAAAGGAATGAAATTCTTTTACTTTATATATTATAAATTCTTATATAAAAGTCCAGCCTGCTTTAAGCACTCCCAACAGATTAAAGCCCTGTTTAAAAATGTCAGATTAAGTGGTGACTATTTTATCAGGACACAGGAGTTGGTAAGTTGACCAGGCCTCCTCTTAATCTTGAGCCAAACATTTGTCTGTGAGGCCTCTTGTCTTGAGCCCAGCTTCCTGGAGTGAAGCGCCGGCACATGGAACAGTAGCGACACAGCTTCTTGCGGAGATAAGCTGTGCCCTGTGAAAGCAGCAGGTTCTCTGAGCAAGTCCTTGGAGCTGACAAGTGGATGGGTTTCTCTTCCTGGCATTACCCGCTCACCTCCATACTTTTCCCTGAGACCAGGTTTAGTCTAGAATGAAGCTAGGGGACTGTCAGAGGACACACGTGAAGCACTTGGCTGTGCGCCCAGGAAACTGCTTCCAGGCACGGTGACCATAGGCTGTTTCTCAGTGTGGTGTTACGTAACTTAAACTTCATCTGCTGTGCAGAATGGGGTATACATCCTATGTATTCAAATATTCACTTGAACATCACTGATTGGTCTTAGAAACAAAGTTCCTGTTTTTTCTCCTTTAGATCACAAAGGGGAGCTCCCTCGAGGCTGGAACTGGGTGGACGTGGTGAAGGTACACAATCCTTACTTCCCGCCTCACGCCCTATGGCATTGCCATCAGTACTGACGCTTTCTCTCCCGTTTTCTCCCCCGCCTCTGGGTTTCCCTGGGACGTCTGTTTCCTCTCCTACACTCAGCATGTAAGTATTTGTAACTGCAATGAGGTATGATGTTTGTGTACGTACACCATAGAATGGGCTTGCTTCACTATGACTCTAATTAATGACGATATGGAAACTGAAGAAACACGTCACGGGAAGATATGCTTTGATTTCTTAGGAGAAATTAGGCATTTTACTTAGGTCAGACCGTAGTTGTAGTTTCCTATCGTTATCAAGAAAGATTTTCTGTTTTTGTTGTTTTAAATTGTTTACTTTCATTTTGAATTTTTCTGCCAACTACTCTCAGTATTTTTCTTGCACGAATTTGTAGCTTCAAATGTATTAAACTGATACCTAACACAGTGCCAGTCCTGTCAGACGTAACTAATATGATCCAAGGAGAGTTAAAGATAGCATTTTAGTGAGGACCTAATGGGCATATTCTTACAGTTTATTTTAAAGTCAGCTGTTTGGGCCATGGAATGCCTTTTCCATAAAAACTGTTTAAAATAATCTTTGTGCTTCTAGTATGTAATACAAAAATAGGGGGTGGAAGCTGGAGGTGGTTTAAGTTCCCAAACCTTGCTGTCTCTGGTTCCAGGAGCTGTAAATGCTTACCTTTGATATGAAGTGGAAATAAGTCAATATGATAGCTTAAACTTGTTGAATATTTCTTTTATCTTTTTTCATAGTTAAGCAAAAGTGGCACTAAAGATGATGAATAGCACTTGGAATTGGAAACAAGGGAAGAGCATCCTTAAAAAGTAAACTGGGTTCAAACTCGTCACTCTTTTCTGGCATTGAGGTGGCTTTTTATAAAACAATTTTTTTGTATGTTTCTTACATAAAAATGTTTTCAGCTGAAAGTTCATAAAGAGATTTGGTTGTATTAAATTATTTTCACAAACTTGCCTTAATAAAAGGTGAAATGTTACTGTTTAATATACTTTGGAAGTCTTTTGAGCTTTGTCAGTGGAATAAGGGGAATAATAAGTAATCAGTGTTAACTTATATGATCTTATTCTAGTGGATGTGATTACTTTTTTTTTTTAAGACTTTTCCAAAACTCCTGTCCCAGGGAATAGAGCACTGAGTGAACAATTATTCTGAAGCATGATCCAGATTCATAAGCTTCTCCTCTTAATCAAGTGTTCATCTCTTCTTTCTCTCCATTACTGAGGCATAACTTGCTTCAGAGAAACTTAAATCCTAGTATTTGAGCTTTACACATAATATTCTTTGTAATGCCTCCCACCCCACCCCAGGGTGAACTGCTTCCCTGTAATAAGTGAATATTGGTTTATGCTTTTCTCTCAGTTTGGGTCATGATGTTTGATCATGAGAGCTTTCCATGGTGTGTGGAAGAGGAGAATATAAAAACGGATCTGTCTCATACATCAGACAGCATCTGAACAGAAGTGCTGGTTCCAATTTAAACGTTTCTCTTCACTGCACTACCAAGACAGGAGTACAAGATGCCTTAATATTTAATTTGTGTATTGTTGGAGCCAGTGGTCTTAATAAATTCCTGTTTATCTGCTATCGTATATCTTTTGTTGTTTGGTAACTGAGGTCTTGTAAATGACTTAACATAAAACCACGTTCTGTGTTTTGTTCCAAGTATTCAAATGCATTTCTCACCCCGAGCATCGTTGTAATAATAGAAGTATTTCAAATGCTGAACTGTAGTACATGCTTGATTGTTTTTTTAATCATTAAAAGAGGAAACCGTTAGTGCAGTTTTACCAGGGGGTTACTGATGCCTTTGTGCGTTTTACAGTGATTCTGTTTCTGCTCCCAGCTTTAAAAATACTTAGGGCTGCTGCTGCAGGGTCCCAAAGAGACGTTGCTGGTTCCTCAGCTGCACTGTGCGGTGTGGGTCTGCGTTGTTGAAGGACAATTATGGTTTTCAAAAGTTTCCTTAGCATAAGAGCAGTCTGAGTTGTGTTCATGGTTTTTACTGAGCTAACACTGGCTTCAGTTAAATTATGAAGTAATTATAATTATGGTGAAGAAATTTAACCTCATTTTTAAAAGCTGAGTAGCATTTTATTTCTTGAAACTAGAGGCCCAGTGCACAATTTGTGCACAGGTGGGGTCCCTCAGGGTGGCCTGCGGGGATCGGGCCCCGGATCGCGCCCCCAGCCTCACAGCCCCGCAGCCCCACCTGGCACCCCACCGTGGCCTGGCGCCGCCCCCTCACCTGTTCCACCATCCTGCCTGCAGGGTGATCTATCGAGGCCAGGGCCACCGCCGGGCTCCATCAGCACCTGGGAGCCAGGCAGCAGCCCCGCCCCCCATCGCCGCCACTGGTCGCCATCTGCGGGGCGATTGGTCAGGGTCACGCCCCTGCCACCACTGCTGCTGGTTGCCATCTGCGGTGCAATTGGCGGGGCAGTTGGGCCCCCGCTCACACCTGCCTTGGCCTGGCACTGCCCACTCACCTGCTCCACCATCCCACCCTGGTCCCGCTCTCATTGAGGCCCATCGGGGTCGTCAGCACCTCCACTGCCGCCCGCCATGTTCCGCGCCGACCCCTGGTGGTCAGCGTGCATCATAGTGAGCAGTCGAACTCCCAAGGAGACAATTTGCATATTAGGCTTTTATATAGAAGTAACATGATAGAGAGAAACATTAAAATTCAGGGCTACTGAAATATGCCGACTTTGTTTTGGGGTTGTGTTCGTACTTTTTTATTGTGTTGATTTGTCTGTTGTTTTTAAAGAAGCTACTACATCTGCTAGTGGAAGAAAAGCCTTTGTTTTGCTCCGAAGAGTCTGAAACTGTTCAAGCTTATCACGGTTCATAGATTACAAAGAATAACGCTAGTAAAATGCCAATGAACTATTTTTACTCTTTTTATATGACATGTACAGATTCCGGGAGGCAATGGTGGCAGTGGTGCCTCTTACCTCCTTATGTGACTCTTGAACATTCTCTCATCAATAATGCCATCACTGTTCAACACTCCCAGTATATTTTCTCAAACTGTTTACTTAAAGTTGTATGGAATAGCATAATTAATAAGCAATAAAATCTGGACTACACGCAATGGTGTTTCTACGTTTTATTTCAAATGACTTGAGGGAAAATTGTTGATTTTGTAAACGTGCATAGTCTTAGAGTGCAAAGTGTACTCTCCTACTAGAAACTGTTCAAGCTATTGGATTAAAAAAATGTTTTTTAAATGAGCTGATGGGAAGATAAGGAGTACCCAGTCTAACACATTAAGTGAAAGCTGGACCCTTGAGGTTAAGGACAGCTTTTTGTTTTCAAGCTTCAGGGGCCCAGAGGCAGGAGGTGAAGTCCAGGGTTAGTTGGGGGTGAGGGATCACACATACACCACCCTCCCTGCTTGAGGCTGAGCACTGTCCCCCCGAGGGAAGTTTCCATCTTGAACTTTGTTGATGGAGGGGTGAAATGTAAATATACATGCATGTACTCTCCTGACCACTTATAACAGGGTGCCTCTCACGAATTTCAGCCCAGATTCCTCCCATATAGACCATCTGAGAAAACAAACAAAAACCTCAAGCTGGGATTTCCGTTTGAAGTGGCACCAAGTGGTTAGAGCCCTGGACACCATAGAAACGACCACAAATTCTCTCTGGAAGAACCCACCTTCCGAAGAAGCTCGCCCATAGAGTCCGGGACTGTGTTCTCACAGTCACAGCCCACAGCACACCAACGCAGGCACTGTGAGAGCCTGCTGAGAAGAAACGGGGGAGTAAGAGCCTCAAGAGTAGATACTCAATTATCAGAAGAGATTGAGTAAGGAACAACAAGCTATTAAAGTTATCAAGTAGATTTGGAAAAGAACCAAATAGAACTTCTCAAAATGAAAAAGAAATTGACATTCAAGCTGCAGATGAAGTGTTGCTTGCCAAGTGTATAAATGCCCTGCGGAATGGAATCGGGTTTTGGACTCGATCTTATTTTGATCATAGCATTAGCATGTCCGTCCTTCCTCATTCTTTCTCACAAGCCCCCCATTTTAGATTAGCTGGGTGGGTCGCGCCTTCATAGAGCTCTGCTCCGACTACAGGTGTGCCCCACCTGGACCTTGTGTGTTTTCATTAAGCGATAGAACAACAACGAAGTGATGTATGTATGATCTAAAGTGTGTGTGTCAGGCCCAGCCAGCATGGCTCAATGGTGGAGTGTCGACCTATGAACCAGGAGGTCACATTTCGATTCCCTGTCAGGGTATACACCCAGGTTGTGGGCTGGATCCCCAGTATGGGGCGTGCAGGAGGCATCCGATCAATGATTTTCACTCATCATTGGTGTTTCTGTCTCTCCCTCTCCCTCTGAAATCAATAAAAAATATTTTTTTTTTTAAAAAAGTGTTCATCAGGCTGCAGTTTGTGGTCCAAGAGTGACGGAATCACTGAGGGACTTGACCAGCAACGCTTTGGTGGAATGGAAGAGGAGGAGGGAACAGAAAACACCAGTGTGTCCTGCAAGCTGTAAGGGTATTTGTGTGTGTATGTGTGGATACTGTGTAAAATGATTTCTTAAAGTGAGTAATGGTGAAAAGGGGGTTTGAACAAGCCATTGTCAGAGCTTGCAAATGATGGAACAAACTTTATATGACGATCTTTTTAAAAATGCAACACGTGCTGTTCAACATGTCAGGAACATTAATCATTGATTTTGCATTTTTCCTAAAGACCAATTCAGTAAAGCTACATTGCATAGTGTAATGGGAGAGGAGCAAAACATCTGATTTTGAGTAGGATCCTTCAACGACTTATAATGATGAAAATCCTTGCCTGACAGTTTTTGCTTACTGAAGAACTGAGAACATAGAAGAGCTAATGCCTGAATAAATAATTTTAGCTAATTTCTTACGGATAGGAACCAAGAATTATAAAATTAATTCAATTATCCCACCATTTCTAGAGGAATACTTGTTTTCTTCCTGGGTTTTCTATATAAATCCAGCTCCCAAATTAAATTGTCATAATCGTCAGATGGTGGTGACCAAACAGGAAATATTTCCGCTGCCCATTTCTCCCTATTTTGCTGCTGGTGTCTGAGAAGTTGTATGTTCTGTGAGGCCTTCTGGACCTGTCATATGCCCCTTTCTGTGGCTCCCACAAATATTTGGCCTGTTGGGACACTATCGATATTTTAAGGAACAACCCATCTCTGCCCAATTTTTTCCATCAACAAAAGAGAGCGCAACTTACAAAAGGAGGAAACTTAGGGAGGAAAGCGCTGATGGTTTGATAGTAGGACTGTTTAATTGTTGAATGTGGAGCACAGAAAGACAAGGAGAAAGGTTTCCTCGCTATGTGGACTTCCAGCGGGTAAGCCTCACTGTGTGGACTGAGACTTTGTTCCTGCTCCTGCTGCGAAGTGAAACAGCCCTGGC